GGAGGACCCGCATGGTGTGGTGGTGAACGCGTTACTCCCCGGAAAGGACAACGGCGCGTTCGTTCCCCACCTTAAACACCTGCGGTCCAAGTTTTGCAAATATCTCAGCGACATTGTGGTTGTATTTCGCTTAGTACCCTGCCGTAAAAATTGTTGTAGGCAGATAAGAAAAAGTAAAACATCCATTGTCGATTCAAAAGCATGGAATGTGTAGCGAAGAGAAAAAAGATCACCCGACTCCGTTCACACCTTTTTAATTACACGGTACTTCCTGTTTTAACGCGTGCGTTAGAAATCTGGTCGCTACGTAAGCAGAATGGAGGATCACTGCGCGTTATTGAACACGCAGTCGAAAGAACAACGCTAGGAGTATCCCGTATCACGCAAGCGAGTGAAAAGGTTACGAAGTCATGCCATTGCATACGCCAAGCCGTCGATCATAAAGTGGGTCGTACACGTCGTGCACATGAACGGCAACCGATCGACGAGAGTCGTTAGTGACTGGATTCTTCGGGATGTTGAACGTACTGCAGGAAGACCACCGACCCGATGGCCAGAGTTCTTAACGAAGAGCCTAGAAAAAAGATATGATGCTCAAGGAGTCCCTAGAGCAAGCAGAACCCACTGGGCTACTCTTGCATGCTACAGGGAAAAATAGAAAATTTAGTTGCGCCCGCGCGTCACTGGACCATCGACCGGACGACGGGCGACACAGGTAGTATGTGTTGTAAAAAGTTACCGTTGGAAAGTTTGTTTGTGGTTGTTGTGCATGCAAAAAAGTGAGCTGATAAATTGCGAAAGTCGTTGGGTCATAAAATGAATGTCTTTGGAAATCATGTTTAATACACAAGAAACGGAATAGGACACTGTCTGGAATTATAAGAATGATGATCTGCTACATTGGTAGGTCATCGTAAGTAATTGTACAGCGTAAATCTCCATTCATCCGCTTATGCGTTGCTCAATGGAATTGAGTTTATGAGGTATCTCTGATGGATCGATCAGCACGGAGCACTTTGTCCTTTATCTTTTCATGTCGTTGAATTTCTCTGTAATTCCGAAATCAATCTCATCAAAAGTGATTTGAGTAGAATTACGAATGTTCAGTAGCTTTTTACGAGTAAATGCGGCAAGTGACTTGACGAAAGATTGCCCTGCATTTAATATACATTGGAAACGCCTGTTGTGAGCTTTGAGCTTTGAGCTTCAGCTTACAGCTTTGAGATACATATGCTTTGAATTTACTGCTTATTATTGTAGGTCGAGTTCTTGTTGACATAACAGACGTAGATCTTGAAGAGATTGGTATTGCCTGCTATGATGAGAGGTTTGTTCTCAGTTATTATTCCTTATTACCGCTTTAAGAAATTTGGCCTTATAGGAGCGTCTTCATCGTATGGTATTCTAATGTAGAATTTTTTTTCAAATCTTTATTTTCTATCGTATGATTTTTGTTGGAATTTGTACTCATGCAATAGCCTATCCAACGTAGATGTTATGTGAACATTAGGCGAAGAAAAACTATGTAGTATAGGAAGTAATATGCAAAAAAAAAACTTCAGATTCATCTGATTTGGGTTTTGGAGAAGGAGAAGATAATTGCTGTGGTGAAAGTATGTTGTCTTTGCTGTACACATTGGAGTTCGACTCTTAGAACTATCTGGCAACTGTGAAGTGGTGAACTCCAGTGGAGACTTCTGTAGATGTAAAGATATAAAAGGACTGCGTGTTGCCATATTGCATTATGCACTGTATGCAGTGTATTTTTGAAGCATTATAAGTTATTCGCGTGTGGCGTAGTGGTCGGAGGCATTCTGCAATACAAGCGGGATCGATTCCCACCCTCCTCCCGCCATGGTTCACCAAGCCCTCCATCCCTCTGGGGTCGGCAAATTTGGTACCAGGCTGGTCTGGAAGGATAACAGCACTGGCTTCATACATAGGTAGGCCACCGCAAGTGATTATAAAGGCCATATGGGTTCTATCACTTCCGAACGACGCATAGTGAAGTCGAATGCATGGCTCATCCCTCAGGGATTTATCAACGCCAAGAGCTTTACTTTTCATCGTTTTTATAAGTTGGTCATTTTTATTCTCATAACCTTCCACTTGTGTTGTGAACACTGCCCCTGACATATGCTTGTACTCTATGATATAATTTATTTTTGCAATCGGCACCTCATATTTTATCAACTTTGTTCGTCTACGCAAAAATTTTACATATGCTCCAATTCAATACTATAGGAAATCAAACTATTGTGGACATTACACTGTTCATTTGCACACATCTTGGCCCATAATCACCTGTATCACCTGTAGCCCCGTTGATCGTCGAGTGACTCGAGGGGTTTCGGTAATCCTTCCATTTTTACCAGTCGCGTGCAAGACTAGTCCAGTGAGTTCTGCTCGCTCTAGGAACTCGTTGAGCGTCATAACTTTCTCCTTAGGTTTTCGTTAAGAACTCTGACCATCGGGTCGGTGATTTTCCTGCAGTGCGTTTGACTTTCCGAAGAATCCAGCCACTAACGGCTCTTCTCCATCGGTTGTCGTTCATACGCATTACGTGTCCGGCCCACCTTATCTTCTACTGTTTGGCGTACAGAACGGCATATTTGATTTTTGATCGTTGACGCATGTCGGAGCTTCGGATTCTATCCCTTACTTGTGTGAAACGGGATACTCCTAGCATCGCCCTTTCGACCGCGCGTTCGATAACGCTGAGTGGATCTTTCATCCTGCTTACGCAGCAACCAGGTTTCTAACGCATACGTTAACGCAGAGGTACCGTTGAGTCGAAAACGTAGGAACGAAGTCGGGTGTTCTTTGTCGTCTCCGCTACATCCTCGATGCTCTTGAAAGCCGCTCGTTTCCTTCCGCTCAATTCTGGAGCTAAGTCGTTCAACATGTTGACTTCCCGACCTAGATAGACATAACTGCAGCATTCGGAGATATTCGTTCCGTTGAGCTTGGATGGGGCATGCGAAACCAATCCGTTTTTGTGAGATTTAGTCGAAGACCAATCTTTTCACAGGCTTTATCAAATTTGGCAAGCATACGTTCCGCTTGGCTAATTTTTGGTGTTATAAGTAAGATGTCATCAGCAAAGGGAAGATAGTGTAGCAGCCGACCATCGATTTTCACTCCCACATTATCCCATTCCAATGTTGGAGTAACGTTTTGAAGGGTGGTGGTAAATAATTTTGGCAAGGCGCTATCGCCTAAACTACCTTCTCTTTCGACGTCAATGTTAATATCGTTTTGGAGTGGTGATACCTTGGTTGCGAAATTTTTGTACAGCTCACGAAGAATCTTTATGTATTGACAAGGAACTCCCTGATTATCAAGAGCTTCCATGACCACTTCTATCTCAATTGAGTGAAAGGCCTTCTTTAAATCGATGAAAGTGAGTTAGAACGGTCTTTTGTACTTTCGCGACACTTCACTGAGTCTTGTTATCGCGTAGATGTGGTCCATCGTATGTTCTCGAAGATGGCGGTAAATAATTTTGGCGTGATGGTGTTGCATTGCCTAACTCCTCTTTTGACGTCAGTGTTAATATCGTTGTATGGTGATATCTTGGTTGTGGGACTCCTCCATTATTGATGGTTTCCATTCCATTACTACCTCTTTCTCAGTTGAATGAAAGGTCTTCTGTAAGTCGATGAAAGAGACAGAGCGGTCTTCTGTACTCTCGCAGTACTTCAATGAGCTGTGTTACCGTGTGGATGTGGTCCATCGTACTAAATCCTTTTCGAAATCCTTGTTCACATAGCTGTCCTTCGTCTAGTGTTCTGTCAATCCTGTTTGATCACTGGAGTGAAAAGTTTGTAGACGACAGACAGTAAGGAGATTGAGAGATAAGACATCTTTTGTCTCAGAATCTCACTGAGATTGGGAGATAGTTGACGATATCGTGTAGGTCACCCTTCTTGAACAATCACACGGTCTCGCTAGTCTACCCCTGAGTAGGGACCTTGCATTCAGACAGGTATCGTGTGAAGAGCTGGGCCAGTGTGTTTACGAGGACTGGCGGAAGGTTTCTCAGGTGTTCTGATCTTGTCCTGTCCTGACCTAGTACTGTTCGATTTTTCATCGACGAAATGGCATGTCGGATTTCGGAAGGGAGAACCGGTGTTACAATGTATCCATCTTCCTTTATTTCATATGTCGGCAGGTGGACATGGCTATCGAAGAGATCTGAGTATTATTCGTGAATGATTTTTTCCATTGCCTTTCTGAACGCTGTAGCTGTTCCGTGTAGACGTCGGTGTGTAGTCATCTTAGTCTTTGGCGAAGCTTCGTTGAGCTTTGTGAATGCTCTTCCTAGCCTCTGCAGCTTCGACCATTACTGCTGCTCTTTTCTCTTTAAGATCTTCTTTTATGGCCTGTCTGCATTGTTTTGCAAGTTCGGACGTTTGTTCGCGGTTGCCTGCAGCTTGTGCGACTCCACGCTGGTGTATCAGCTTGAGTGTTTCTGGAATCAGATATCTCTTGGTGACTTTTAACTCTCAAGTTTCATAGCGCTAACGTGAAGTTGTTGACTGAACCGATCGTATTATTTGTCGATGTTGTCGACAACGGCGGCTTCCCAATAGCCGACTGGTGAATTGAATAAGTCTTAGTTTATGGTGGTTCTGGGACTTCGGTTTTTGAATTTAGCGGCTTTTTCTCGTTTCCGCGAGAAATAGAATCTTGCACGAAGGAAACGATTGTCTGATCCCGTGTGGAATTTTGAGACAACAGCAACATCGGTTTGGCAAGACCTTCTATTTACTATGACGCCCATAATCAGTCTATGTAATTATCGTCAGGCTGACTTTCTTCACTTTCTACAAACTGTTCAGTGGTGAAAGTAATGCGTCTTCACTATCATTTACATCTCCATGTTTACGATCACTTTTCATGGCGACGATTTGATATCCTTCGGTTCGCCATCGACCAACGTATTTTAAGTGAATAGAATCTAACTACTTCACAGTAAAATTTCTGCAAAGTGGCAAACCAAAAAGGAAAAGATTAGTTTTTAGGTAATGAAAATCAGTAGATCGACATGGAGATTTGTGGTAGAAAAATAACAGACGCGTGTTTGTGCGAAAAATAATTCACTGAAATAAACTACTTTGTAGATGGATCTTATGAAATGTTCTGCGATAAATTGCGGAGCAGAACTCTAGCCTCTCCGATAGCCTCTCCGATGTTTACGCAGCACAGTACCCACGGACTCATTCAGCTGCTATTTCTTTAAATCGTTTAATTCTATGTTTCTGTTCATTTCCGTCGCATTGGCCTCCTTTTTTTAGAATATACTTTACTACTATCTGTAACGGAAAAAAATCGTCCACAATCCAACCGTATTGCTATCAGCCGTATGCCATATGAGATTTTTTAAAACTGAAGAGTATTTTCGGAGTTCTCTTGATGACGAGCAGCGCCGTGGTAGTGATGTCGTTAAGTACAATCACAGTGTGGATTCGACCTCTTTCCGGGCTCACTAACCTTTCCGCAACTCTGGGTTTGGAAAATTAATTCCAATGTGTCGTTTTCTTGTTCAGCAATCGCGAGGTTTTTAAGCAGCATACATTTACTTCCATAAAAACACAATACAATACA